ACGTAAATAAGTGATTAACGCAGTTGGGATTGTTTTCAGACGCTCGCCGCTGCAGCGCCTCGCCGGGCTCAGTTGATACATTTAAAATGAGCCTCCGCCGGCCGTCAACTCCGCCCGCTAATCTTTTATGAGATTAACTACAACGATTCTTCAAATTATCACTTAGGGTTGACAATTCCGAGTCCTTGTGTGAGATGATAGCGGGGCAAAAATGAAAAGAAATTGGAGTAGGTACGTCTTTACTACTTTTTCCTTTGTTTTGTGAATAACATTAAATTTATTGCGACTATCAGGTAAAACGTTGGTTTTAAATCGTATTAAAGGAATGTAAGAGGTGCTTAATTACATTTCCACCCGTCTAAAGGGATATGTTGAATTACGAGCCGCCCTGTATATCTGTTAACGCCTCAAAGATTCACATAATCCCAGCTTAAAAATTACATAGTTCCCCTTTTGAAACTTTTTCTTTAATATTGCATGGATAAGGAATATTTATATAAAAGCTGCGACCCGGAGTTGGTAGAAGGTAATGGGTACTTTTAAGCTGAATTTTATTACTTTTACTGTGAAAGAAGGTAAACGTAATACAAGGTATTAATCTGGATCGGCTCGTGGAGCGCTTTCCTGTAATAAAATCGTTTCGGATATATTTTTGTGTTATTAATATTACATGTACATTAAAAAGACCTAATTGATTTATTTAATAACTTTCTTACCTATTTCATAATATTGCCAGTTTAACTAATGATTGTTATCTTTTTTGATTGCAAAATCTGTCAAAGCATCAAACTTATTAAAAAGATCAAAGCCTGTTCAATGAAGATATTAAAATTATTTTTATTCATCAAATATTATGTTTAAGACTTTGATATTTAATTCATTACTTTTAGTGAACATGAACGGCCGCAGGTTGGCCGTAGTAAAGACAATCTGGCCAGGTGGGGATTCTTGGATGGCTTGAACATGGAGTGCAGGTGCGGTTTTGTTCCCCAGTCGATGAGGCACCTGATGTCATGCCCTGAGTGCCCAAGCAACTGCACTCAGGAGGATTTGATGAGTGCTACTGACAACGCCACTCTTGTGGCGGAGTTTTGGGCTGACACTGTGTAGGTTTGTTGTCGACACGAAAAAAAAAAAAAGAAGAAGAAGTGAACATGAATATAACGTGATATTGGCTGGTAATCTAATATCAGAAGTTACAAACAAAATGAAGCGGGAATCAACGGTGGGCGCGTATCGAAGGGCGGACTTTGTAAGGGCGCTTACCCCTCTATTTCAAACCGTTTCCGGCACTAAGCTGTTCCGGAAATAAAGTATTTATGTCGTGCCAAGTAGTTTTATCGGAAGTAGGTATTTGTGAGGAGCCGACTCTATCAATATGTGATTTAAATAAAAGGCAAGTTTTTCTGCACGTATTTTTTTAAGAATTCCTCGAAATTGATAATTTAATTTAGTACTTTACTTTGGTTCGTGTTCACTATAGTATGAGTTTTAGATGTGTCTACGTTTGAATATGTTTGTCAAAAAAGTATCAGTTTGTTTGTTTGTATCCGATCTGGTATCCACAGTTACTACATAAGTTTAGAATTGACTTATTCTAAACTTATGTAGTAACTGTCTTAGGTGGCGCAGTGTAAAATGTCCAAGGACATTTATTTATTTAGTCATTGTAGTCGGATTTATTTTTCATTAAATTACAATACCTACTTTCTTACTACATTACTGAGAAATAAGACATAATATTCACTTAACTTGAACTGGTTACTTAATGCCCACCCCCATAAGTTTGTGTTGATGATTCTGATAATTTTATCTCAAAATCTTCGTTAGTTATCGGTGCTTGCTTAGAAGTTAGGCGGGTTAGGGTCTAAATGGCCCCACGTCCGGACAAACATCGCGGAAATTCGCAACTCAAACAAGTTTAAGCAAATTTATAACTTTCGGACTGGAAGCAGGCTGTTGCCTTGTTGTGTTGTGTGCTCACCTCGCCGGCGTCATTAATACACATCGGATAATTATTTTCCAAACATAACATTGAGATACTTTGTCTTTAGCGATCTGAAGTTAATACTGATTACTAATTAATGCAATATAATGTTCCATTTTTAATTAATTTGCCAATAATTAAAAGAAGCTCCTATCCTTTGCCTAACTTTGGCTTTGGTGCTCAAATGTTAATAGTGACGAATGGAACTTAAAACTCAATGTTTAATTCATTCTCAATTAATTAATAAAAACTCCTATTCTTAAAAGATTTAGAAATGCATATTTACTCGTACCTAACCTTTAAAATGCAATGAGAATACGCAGGTTAACGGTCAAACGTCTCTTCAAATGTAAAACTATTATAACACTCAAAGTTTTCCACTTTGCCCGTCCGATATTAAAATATTCTTGATACGAATGTTTGAACACGAAGAGCAATTCAAACAGCAATGCTGTAATTCAAGAGTGCGCGGGAAGTCCACTAATGATAAAGCTCGGAGGGGAAATGATATGAAAATAGTTTCCTTGTAGGCGATGTACGGACGATGCATATCAGACTATAAATTTTGATTGCAAAATAGCTCCTATTACTTACTACATAAGATCTTACAGTGTTTAGCTTCAGGTGCTGTCGTCTGAACTATCGGGAGTAGAAGTGGCGGCGTGTGGGCAACGCACGCGGGAGTGCTCGGGCATTGCCCTTCTATCGAGAAATAAATAAAATAAAATGCTATCTGCATTTACCATTTTCATTAGCATCAAAGAATTCAATCTTTGATAAGAAGAGCCAAGTACTCGTATTTAGCATTGTTTTTTTTGTCATTACTCATCGTTTGACATCATATTATAAAGAAAGTAACAGGTTATTTGATAAGTTTCTGAGATACAATGATATTAGTCGATTCATGAAAAACACTTTGGAGCTTTCCTTGCTCTGAAAATCTTTTTTTAAAAATAAATTCCAAAAACTGTAATGGTTACAAGTTTAGAAGAAAACTTAAAAGCTAAGTTTTTTCTAATAAAATTGGTAAGTAGATTAATTTAATTCGCTAGCTGGATATATTTTCAAAAAGAAACAATGAAACGTTTTGTAAAGTACAAAAGGAGCGGAGTTGTTACTATCAGTATATCCGATAATCCCGTTTTATAATTTTCCAGATCGGTCTAAGCTCGAATGACATGACGTAAAGGAGTATTATCTCAAATAGAGCGGAGGGTGCAAGGCCCTCGCGAGGTGCTTGGCCGCGCTAGCACTCTTTGTCTCCTCTGCCCCACCAGTCGAAGGTTCTTGCACTGAATTATGTTAGTAAGGCGAATGGGGTGACGCGAGGTTCCTGCTCCACTCTAAACCCTTTGTTGGGCGTTGATCTCGATCTTGCGCAAAAGACAGCGTTGCATCGTTTTATGGGCGGAAATTGAGATCTGTACAGGAGCTTCAATTCTATGTAATTTATACTACGAATAAATATTAGGTAGTTCATAAAATTAAAAATTATTATTCTAAGAATATTATGGAGACACGCGATTCTTGGAAAAAACTAAAGTTCCTTGAACTGATTTGTTGATAAACACATTTTTCAAGGCAATATCGTAATCGACAGAAAAAAATACCTTGAAATCTTATCAATTTATTATCCTATATTTTTTTAATAATGATTCAATTTGATCAAATTCATGATAGAAATCATTAATATCTTTTAAAAATTTACACTTTTTTCCCATCACTCCAAGCGTAGTAGCTACCTACTACGAGAATGCTACGAAAATCTCGTAGATAGTTTCATTAGCACCTGTACCTCTAGTACGAAAAACTTTCGAGTTCGTTTCGTTTGCGTATTCAAAGTGTCATCGAAAAATTTTGTATGAAAAATTAAACAGCGCCCCCTATATTATAGCCGCCCTAGGGGGCGCTGTTTAATTTTTCATACAAAATTTTTCGATGACACTTTGAATACGCAAACGAAACGAACTCGAAAGTTTTTCGTACTAGAGGTACTGAATGCATGTCTCCTAATTATGTTATCAAAGTGTGTAGAGTTCGTATGCAGTTGCATAACGCTATTCGGGAGCCGTTGACCGCAAGGTGAGTGAACACACCGGGTTCAGACGGGTCGCGAAGGTCGAGGGCCTGCATACGAGAGTTACATAAAAGTTCACATGCACCATTTTCTGGAATTTGGTATACTACATCAAAATTTTTTGACGAATATTGCATGCAGCAAAAATAAATTGCTGCTTTTGTGCAAGTTACGTATTTTTATGGGGAGGTTAGTCATATGTATTGAGGGATGGTAGAATTTGTATTTCATTCCCTTTAGCGCTTGCCATTCCTTTAAGTTAATTAGATTTTAGAAAGATAATAAAATTTATACTTACTTACATATTAATAATTTCTTTTGTATAAGAAGATCAAATTAAAAAAAACAATTGTAAACCTATGAACCACGTAGTTTCAGTAAAAGATATAGGTACCTACCGCCACTTCTTTTGTTTTCACAACTCGTATTTTTCAGATTCTTGCAACGTGCGCATTCAACATACAATTTATGTTTTCGATTAAAGTAAAGAATGTAAGATATTTTGAGATTTGTATGCACATGCAAACTACTCTATACATGAACAGTTTCAAACTACTATAGCTGATGAAATATGCAATGGCAGTTATAAGTTAGATATATACTCACGTGTATTTCAAAATTTACGAGACAAGACCTTACTATGGTTAGATATACGAGTAATGGAATCTATCGTTTGTCGCAGACTGCGCCGAGAAGGAAATTAAACCAGAATATTCGCAAGCTTCGGTTTCAGAGACGCGTCACTAATGTGCAACTTGATATTTCGTTGACTTCCTACTGCCGAGAGTTACATACGCCGCGTAGAGATTTGATGTCAACATGCAATATTGAACTGTTATCGCTCTCTACTATTGTTACGGAGCCTTTCTCTTTCAAGTGTTTCGATTTTCAGATGCTCAGAGTTATTTAAATTAAGTCCTACGTTTCAAAGCGAACCTCATTTGCGTTTACAAAAGTGCAGATCATATTTTTTCTTCTGTGTGTTCGAATTGAAAGCTCTGTAATATTCTTTTTTGTCTCGAAGCGGGCGGGCGGCGCGGCCACCGCGTGCGTCGCACAAAGCCTCCGGTTTTGTATTCGCTTCCTCACTCACCTGGAAAGGAAAGAAAAGAAAATATTAATTAAGAGCCACTGAACGAAATAGATATCGTTGGAATGAAGCTTATTCTGTTATTGTAAACGGACGCAAACTGTTTATTATACAGTGGGGAAAAGTTGCTGCGTTTTAAAAATGAAAAATCTGTTGTAACGACTATAAAAGTAGGGGAGAGTTTAATATGGAGCGATGTAACGGCTCGATATTTAGGTAATGTGCTCGCGGCGACAGCGGCGGCTCGCGCAATGCCAAACGAGCCTGAAACGTACATCTCATTAACACATAGCGCGCGATATTTAGGGAGCGGTCCGCGCGCGGTGAGCCGCGAACTAGCATTTGGCAGCGCGCGCTCGTACACAGCCGGCTGTGTAAACTAAACAACTCGTAAAAGTGTAAAAGTCGTAACGATAGCGGCGCGGCTGAGAGAACCACCTAATATGAGCAGCGGCTGGAGCCGCGCCAGTCGTGCTCATTATCAGATGGGACGTTCCGGCGCAACCCTTTCGTTTTACGATTGGCCTCTAATTACAGCAGCGCTCAAGGCGGCGCTTTTTTAGTTGATACGAGCCGGGGCGCGCACTGCCAAATGGACATATTTATTGCCAGTAGCCAAATCGTTTACGCCGTTCGACGGTGGTGCGCCTAGTGTTACGATCCCGCCATTTTGCGATATGAAAAAAGTCTCGGGGAATGTCGCGGCAGCGCAATAACAGAGAGCGCTGGTTTACGAGAGGCCGCTGATAAAGCCGGCGGATCGCAGTGTGCGGCCCGCCTTAACGACGTGTTGCCAATTTATGCCACGCGATAAGCAGAGTTTGTCGAGCTTCCGTCGGAGGCGAATTACGAGCTTTGAATCACATGCATTGCGATTTGGGACGTAAGCCGCCTTCTGTCACTTTTGGGTACACGAAGGTAATTAAGCTTCATAAATATAAATTTATCGGGGTAACTTTTCATATATTTAAGCTTTATTTTTTAGACAGTTCGCCTATCTGCCAAGTAGTGGAATGGGTTCTAAGTACGAGTAGCTGTGTTAGTGGTTGCCGTGATTTCAGCGGAGTAATATCTTGGCATTCCTGCGGCGTGCGGTCAAGTATTAGTGTAACATATTCAAGATGCTGGTTGGCACAATCGGCGGCGGAAGACCGACTGGAATTACATGGAATCGCTCGCAGAGAGTATTAGTATGCCGGGACCGAGCGCCACTGGAATGAGTCGACGTGACGCCGGCGGCCGGCATCTTCCCTCGTTGCTACGTCAAAATGCAATAACATGAATATCGTAAACTAGCTATCGGTTCTTACGTAATACCAAACTGCTTTGAAAATTGTTTTCATTTCATTTCTGATCACATTACATGCACGTAATGAGAAAATGTAACTAACGTTTTATTTCTGTTTGCACAACTCATATTAAAACGTATAGTTCTTTCATTACGATATTTGATGGTAGTTACATTATTGCTGTTTTAGAATCCATTTTATTGCTTCAAAGTTGGTGTATGAATAATAAGGAAAATCCGCTCGGTTTTACGATATTGATTGAGTATTATTACGGGGATAATATAAAGCTATTTGTAAGGAAATAGCTCGTTGAAAGATGGGTCTTTTCGTGGACGAGTCAAAACATAATGCGTGACACGCATCGCGGAGTGAGAGCGGCGGTAATCCAACCATATTGATGTGGGACATGATGTGCATCGCTTCAGCCTCACTGGCTTAGATGCCAGGAGTGTCGTATAATATCGGATAGAGTACAAAAAAAGGAGAATGTTATGATTTGCGAACAGTTATATCATTCGCTTTTGGCTCTACGTTATGTACTGTTATTATTTAAAGTAATTAGTACGAGTATAAACAGATTTGTAATTTTGTGTATTTCAATTAAACAAGCAGTAGGTACTATTGTATTAAAATTATTTAACGATTTCACAGTATTCGTTATTAAATTATCCCAGAACGTATATTCCCAGAAATGGGAGGGCTAAAACACGTTTACGGAGGGTGTTATTTGGACAATTGCTGTTTACGAATGGCAAAATTTAATTGAAACATTAAGATTATGACGAAGATGAACCGTCGCCGCGGCCGTGACCTACGGGACCCAGCCCCAACTCAATCTTGCCCCATTACGCGCGACAAATTGGAAAAATATTCAATTACACGACGCTAAATATTGAATTATATCATGGCAAATTACAATTTTGCATCGGGGATGTAACACTAGCTTGTAAGTGGATTTCGTTTCGCCTCAGTTTGCTCTACAGGGAGCGAGATTATTGACCGAAATTGGATTTGTCAGAATTTAAGATGTTTGATTTGATACTGAACATGTTTCAGTGTTTCATGCAGTAAAAGCTTTCTATTTTGCTAGAAGGTGTCATTTGGGATGAAATTGATAGCTACGTTACAAAGTTTATTTCTATAGACGCATGAAAGGTTAAAGTCGTTAGGTCATAAAGAACATGTAATAATATAGTATTAAAGGTGTTATCGCCATGCAATTTCACCGATGGAAAAATAATGTGAGAGCTTAAACAACACGAGGGCAAGTGGACGCAGGAATTACTCGGCAGTTGGAGTAATTGGCAATTAATCACCAGCCGTTTTCTATTTCAGTGTCGACAGCGCGTCTCCTCCTAACGAGTTCGAGTCTGCACCGCGTGTCCCGTAATAACAGGACACTCAATTTTGCTTTTATCACACACGATCATAAAGTGATTACAGCGGGAAATGAGTGAGCGCACTGGTAATTGAGTGAGCGGAGACCGAGCGAGCGGAGCTCTGTTGCTCTTGCTGAACGATTGAAATGAAAATCTACTCATAGGGGTGTAGAAGACCGATTTTATACTGTTTTTGAGTGATAACAATTTTTTGATATTTAACTTTTTTATTATTTACAACCTAGTTTTTAACAGCAGGAAATACGATTTGGTATTAATTTAACCGGTTATTGTGCTTTAGTTTACATAGTAAAATCATTGTATTGCTATAATTTTGATTCTGAATGAAATGTAATTATTAAAAAACAATAATCGCGGTAAATAATAAAATCGGATAAGCTGAAGTTTGAAGTTGCTCGAGATGGCAATTGTCTGTCGATCCCTCGCGCGCGCGCCCACTTTCTTAGATCGGTATCTTTATAACATAATTAAGTAAATTTCAAAGTCGTCGCGCTCCATCTCCGAAATAATAAGAGTAAGAGCTTAGATAACCCACGATTTAATGTAATTTTCCGTTATTTTCCCATCTCTTGTAATTAGGAATTTTGTCGCGAGTAATGAAATTCGATGTATCATGTCTCCTGGGAGGGATTTTGATTTCGTCCTCCTTTTGTCGAAATATTTCGACGGACTAACTTGCTTGCTTTCAAAGCGAAATCCAGCGGGACAATTGATCGCTCTAACTTTAATTTGCAAAGTTATAATAATCTTTTACTGATTTGTGATGGTTCATTGCACATTAATTTATATCTATCACGAAACGGATTTGTACAGTGAGTTATATTGGAGTTTCCTTTTGATGTAATGACCTTAGAACTTCTGTGAGTATATTAATAGAACCTAATACATGAGGGTTTCAAGTTGTTTGTCTCAATTAGGCATTACTGAGTAGCATTGAAGTATTATTTTTAGTCCTTGTCTTTGAACATTATTAGATTTTCGAGTGATGTACCTATTTCTAACGAAAAACAAAACACTCGAAAATGTACTCCTATGTTGGAACATTGTGATAAACATTTCCATTCTAATAGAGGCGAAGAGATGCCAATGCAAAACATATTTCGCAAGCTGACAAATAACGTTTCGTTGTACAGGCAATATCGTGGTTTTCACAATATCGCCGTAGTGAGAACAGGAAGATGTTGTTTAGAGACGTGTCCAGTTAGGTAAATGGGTCGACCGGGTTATTTCCTTGGAGTGATTTATATCCGGGTATTTCGAGACGGTTAGGTACAGCATCGCTGATCGCTGAGTGGATTACGCCGCGACACCTTTCAAACAAATTGTCCCGAGACCGGACTGAGGCGGTAAACAACTCTCCCCTATGCAGATGTACTCTTAAACCAAACACCTTCAATTTCCTAGCGGGGTGGTACCCAGAAATTGCTCTCGACTCGCTTCTTCGCACCGACTAAAGTGACTTTACTGTTTATAGACCCTTTTTTATTTAATCTGCGAAGTGACGCGGCCTGGCCTCTTTAAATAAAACTGGAAGCGTCCACATTGTTATAGAAAGAGTTATGAGTCCGATGAGTGCATAACAATTTAACGAACGGCGGCAAAGTTTAACAATTAGCAGTCGCTTTCTACCTCGTCCAGTGTTGTCGCTAAACAAGTTCATTAATTATTTCGCAGTTGTGAAGTTAACTATCCAATTTGATTGCCTAGACAAGATAGCCGTAGTTAGTATGAGTATAATGAGCAACTTTGGACTAACAAGCTAGTTAGCGCAATATACAATGTTTTTGCAACATTTAGTTTCGGATATAAGAAAAAGAGAGATCATTACCTCAATGGTTGCACGTTTTATAATAATTGTTAGATTATGAGTACCTAATTATAAAAAAAAACAGAAAGTTTCATAAAAAACCGTTTAAATTAATTAAACAAGTTACCATGAATACAAAAACTTGCATTGTACTAATCCCTCGTCGATATTCCACTCTCTACGAAGTCTTCGCTCAAACTTTTCATCGGCCGTTTTGTTAAGTTGCTCGCCGCAATTGGCAATTGAGTTTTGTTTCCAAGTAAGATGTTTCGAGCGGTGACTTTGCAAACATTGGGATGTACAAGTTGACCTATTAGCGGAGAGCTCAAGTTTTCAGTCGTCAGTAACACGAGCGTGATTGCCGACAAGTACAGAGCCGGCTCAGGTCAGTAATTTGTGCCGAATTTGGCAACCCCCGCACCAACTATTGCGACACCAATTTTGGTCCATGTTGCCCAAATTGTTTTTATTTCGTACGTTGCCAGTATGTTTTTGTTTGGACAATAC